GCGGAGATAGTAAAACCAGGTGAGGGGTGTGAAACGATATTGACAGCGGAGAAGCGAGAGAATGAGCGAGGGAAAAAGCGGTGTGAGTGTGTGTGAAGCCATATGTACCGAAGAAACCATGGCATAAATAATAAGTACAGAATTTAAGTTAGTGTTACTGATTCTACCAGGGTCTATTTCGTGGCGTTATTGGCCTACTGTAAAATTCCAACACATTTACTACTATGCACTACAACACTCGTTATGCTCGTGTTTATGTATGTTTATTCTTGGTGCAAATTTACTTATATTTGTCTGGCTGTTTTCTCCTGGCACCTACTTCGTTTCTTTGCGGACTATTTACATCCGGTTTCTACTGCATTTGCTTTTTCCAAGAAACATAGCTAGTCCAGAGAGCGATGCATACGTGACCGGCCTATGAACGACTCGTTGCCGGTGCCCAGCATCGTGGCCACGGGCGAAAGACTTACACACATGGGACTCGCGAAGACAGCAGCGACTTGCTCTATATTCGGATGTAACCCTACTCGTTTGCACAGGCCGACCGTACATGGATGACAGGTTGGGCTCCACCTAGATTATTACCTCTTAATTATTATATTATTATAGCGTCGTGGGAAGATTAGAAACCTGCAATATATATATATAATATATATTATTATATATATTCCAAGATCTGTGATAATAGAGAAAAAATATGAGTGCATAAAATCTCTATTTTATGCCACTGCTTGATATATATATATATTATTAAGCATACTTCATAACGCTCTTGATTATATATAATATATAATATATAATATTATATATATATATATATTATGTCAATATATATATATATATATATATACTATACATGCTGTACATTATGTATGATATTATGTCTATTAAATAACATCAGAAGTATACATAACAGCCGATATCGATTTCATGCTGATCCATCATACCGATTACGACATAATTGCGGGGTTCCATCTTTATCTTGACGATAGCATATCATAATTAACATTATGGAAATATCATTTGCAGTACGTTCAATGAGAGTAACCAATACCAGCACATCGAAGATGGACCAATACAGGAAGAAGTAATCGTCAAGATCGATAGTACCACGGGCGATGTAATCGATAAAATCGGCGGAAACTTGTAAGCTGATAATGTTGCGTATAGCATATAGTATAGATATAGTGTATATAAGTGTTTTAATGTCACAATATTAACATCGCACAATCCCAGCTAACACACAACGTTACTGCAACGTATCCCGAAAGTTGTATTTTGGTTATGTTAAAAATGACGTCTATACAACGTTGCCTACACGTACAAAATATTAACGATAAATAGTATATATGTGTAAGCTTGTAAGCATGGTGCATTAGGCGTGGCTGCATAATGTAAATACTAATATTCCTTTATGAATACGATGTATGAATACATGTAACATATGGCTGATAATGCACGACCGCGGCTGTGAAATGCTAGCGAAATAAATTATTGCTGCTTTAGCAGTGCAGCAGGGGAGGGGGGCAGTGGTGGTTTAGTGAATAGCACACCTTACTTTGGAACTTTGGACTCTCTCTCTCTCTCTCTCTCTCTCTCTCTCTCTCTCTCTCTCTCTC